GTTGGTAGCACTTGTGTTTACCCTACTGTTACATTTCAAAATGGTTGCTGTGAAAGTGGACTACTGTGACAGATTTGTAGCATGTGGACATCCACATGTGCAAGGTTATCTACAAACTGGTCTGCTAGAATCTGGAGATTTCCTCATAAATGCCTCTGTGAGTTAAAGTTTGGTAAGCATAAAGTGAGTTCACAGAGGTGACACTGGAGATGGTAATGCTCACTTTTCAAAGACAGTTTGAAGAATGGAGGTGAAAAAAAGAACACACTTCCTAACTCCCACCTTTTCTGAATGCATTTTATGTTAAATTGGATGATTGGATGTCATTTAAAGAACCCTGTGAAATGCAAATCAGAGCCCAGTTCAAGGAAATATCTGTGGGAGTTTGCACCATGATGGTGACAATTCAAACTATATGTTCAGTGACAGTGTGTGAGAGAGTTGGCAATGATTTACTTTATCTTTGTTTTTTAATTGTTAATCACGTCGCCAAATGCAGGATGATATGTTATCTGCCTAACATGGGTTTATATTTGGCAAAAAGTGGCTTTATAAAGAAATGCTGAGTCATTGACCACCAAAGGAGCATCAACCAATCTCAGTATTGTTACCTCTATTAATGCCGCTCAGCCATTCACTGGCGGACAGTGCAGGTTCTGTTCCTGCTGTCATGGGGTAGATGTCCTCTTGGTATGTGTCTGACTGTGAACCAGGAAAAACCACATACATTATATTTATTAGATTTGGCCTATTTAAAAAAAGTCTGGAGAAAAAAAGGTCATATTACACAAGATTTCTTTGTCTGAAAGCATTAAATGTGACCTCTCTGCATGGGTTTGAAAGGATTCTTTATCATTGAGACAATAGAGCAGAGGCAGTTAATCCATTACTTCATTCCCTCACTCACCCTTCTTGGCACAATCATTGAAATGGGCTCAATCAAACCCTTCAGGGTGACTAGCTTATAGAAGCGGTACACCTCGCAAGCTCCCACATCCAGCCCGTGCTTTGGCATCACACCTGCAGAAAAAGAACAGAAGTGTGTGGTGGCGCCATCGTTTCGACAACATCAACACACTTCCCAGAATTCATGGCTGATTGGAGTCACATCGACCTGCTGCAATAAAACAACGCTGGACAAGTTAGTTGGAGCTTGAAACTACACTGAGGCACTGTTTCAATTCATCTGGCTCTTTTTTTCTTCAAGGAATTTTATTCTTTGCAACACTGCTTTTAGAGCGGTAATGAGGCCGAGCTCATTGCCACTGTGATCCATCCGCCCTCCCATCTCTAAAGACTGCTAATGAAGGGGTTAGGATCTCCCTTTCTGCACTCAGCAGGAGAGATCATATATCACCATTCAACAAATGACTTACCTAGTCCTTTCTGTGGCGCTGGGGACCGGAACTCCATTAGGTATTGTAAATACGGCTTCTCTGTGGTAATCTCAAAGTAACGGATGTTGCCGTCCCCCTGTCAGGGCACCAGAATGCGGCCATTACATTACAGTTCAAGAATTCGCTCTTGAGAGTTTCAACCTCGTCACATTTTAATGCTTGATGGTTCAAAAATGTGGGCCTGTGAACAATAGCTAGGTGTCAAAAAAGAGGCATAAAAAACCTTTATTGATTTCAGAAATTGGCACATTTGCACAAATGTTTT